CCTTTCTTCTTTCTTTTCATTGACAGGCTTTCACTGTGTGTCCCAAGTTGGTCTCAAACTTGTGGTTTTTATCCTTTGTCTCCTAACTGCTAGAATCACATGAGTGTGCATTGGTGAGTGCCAATGTAACTGGCTCCTGTGACACTTTTTAGATGCCAAAGGTTTTGTCCTAAGATATTTTTTGTTTGTTTATCCGCTGGTGTATTTATCAAAACAAATATTTCCAATATTTCTCTAGTGATGAAACAAAATAAAACGCGGTTTCTGTCTTCTTCCAAGCACACTCTGGATTTTCAGTGGGCTGGATGTATTCCTGGGACTAATATCTCTGGACTAGTCACTTTGGCAGATGCAGGGACATCATTGTTTGGGCTACAACAACCTAAGACTGCCATCCTGTCAAAGGATGGAGTAATCCCATCTAAAGCAGGGCGGTGGCACAGTCCATGAGAGGAAATGGCAGTCCATGAGAACAAAACAGGTGGTACACAACCAGCAGCTGTGGCTGCTGTGGCTCCTTCCTCTTTTATGATAATAACTTCAGCCAGAATAACTGTGCTCTATATCCTAGGGCGTGCCTGGTGCTGTAAGTACATGTTTAGTAATAGATGGTGTTAGAGACACCATTTGTAGAACTTTAGGGAAATTATAGGAAGGACTCAAGGTTGTATGGGTTAATGAAGCCTAGATAGTATGATTTGTGTATCCATACACTTATTCATGCCAGGGTTTCTCCATAGTAAAACAGCAGTTGCTATTGAAAATTCATTAAACACTGTCTTGTAAATCCATTATCACTGTATAATCCTATCTGCTTTAATGTGCAGTACAGTCACAAACAGGCCTTCCTGTGACAGAACTATAAAAGGGAAGTTACTTACCTTCTTTTGCCCACTTCAAGCACAAACTATTCACTGTAACATATGGGACTCTATGCCATGTGCATTCAGATACAAATGTATAGACACATGTACATATTGTATATACATATATGCCACATAGTGTATATTACATATAATGTATGAATATTGTATTATCACAAAGTCTGAAAGGTTTTTGGAACTTGGCACTCAATGGAATAATTGAGTGATGATAATGATAATAATTAAGTTGAGAGGAAACAACTCCACCCACTGTACTAAGCTCGCACTAAAAGCTAACACTCTAAGATGTCCAGTTCCTTAGTTACTGGTATTAAGAAGTGTGTAAGAGGAGAATTTTACTGGCCTGAGGCTAAATTATGCTCTGGTCATCCTAACTTCAATACCATGCTCTACTCCATGGGACATTTATCACTTACTTTGTGATTCTGTTTTCTTTTGGCTTTTTTAAGTTAACATATCAACTAATGGGTCTCCTTGTAGGATTTTTGTACATTGTTTTATTTCATTGTAATTCATGACCCTCCCCAATCCTTACTATTTCTCTCTTGTTGGTTCCATCTCTACCCCTTAAACATTCCCGTCTCTTATCCACAGTTACTACATTACCTCCCCCTTCTTCTCCCATCCCTTAAGACCTCATCTTCCTCGTTGTGGGCACCTCTCTCCGTTAATGGCCTATAAACATGGGCTGTTCATTTGTAAGCCTCTGGTGTCTAGTATGTACATTGTCCCCAGTTAAACGATAACTACATTTTCACCACTTCTTTCACGTTTATATAGAGATTTATTTTAGGAAGCTTTTACAGCAGTAAGCATTCATATGACCTTGTCAAGAAATCCTTGTGCTATTTACCCCTCTCTGTTACTTTCAAAGCTTGAAGTACACTGTGTTATGCAATTCTGGGTTGTTAGAGTGCAGGTGAGAGATGTGATGTTACTCTGATAGATTTTTGTTTATGGGTGAGAGCTGTCCGTCCCTTACAGCTCCTACTATTGGTTCTTTGCTGTGGAGTGCTGCCATCTCCACTATAAATGGCATATGGAGATATTCCCTTGCCATGTCTACCTAGGGTTCTTTCTGAATGCTCTTGTATTTCTTTGTTTACAGGGGTGACTTTTTATCTCTTAAGTTTGGGGAATTTTCTGCTGTAATTTCACTGTGTAGGCTCTTTATACCTTTAGTTTTTATCTCACTCTTTATGTTAGCCACTACATTTGTTTAGGTTGACCATGTTGATCACATGATGTGAAGACCTTGGGTGGTATAGAAATGTTTGGTTTTCCTTCCCCATTGCTGAAGTTTAAGTACAGAATTCCCTTGACCTTGTCTTCTATTCCTGATATTTCTTCTAGTTAGTCAAGTCTATTTATAATATTGTCTTTTTAAATTTGGTTCATTGAGTTTTCATTTCATTTTTTCCTGTAAAATCTGGAATCGTGATTAAATTTTTCTTTCATGTTGCTGATTTTTTCATTTTTACTGATTTTCTCATCCCCCCTCCAACTTTTTTCTCTCTCTAGTCAGTGTTTCTCACCACACTTAAAATTGAATTAATCTGCTTGTTTATATCCTCTTTCAGGTCTTTGATCAATTTTATTAGTAAATTTTCATAACTTTTACCTGGCATTATATCTATTTCCATATCTATGAATCAATAGCAGAGGAGATAAATTCTTCTGGAGGAGTCATGTTGTCTTGCTTTTTTTTTTCAATGTCTTATATCTGTTGTTTGGACATCCTCAGTGGGTTGTGTTGAGGATCACCTTGTTGGGCAGCCTTCTCGTGGGAGCCCAGTCTGTAGTACTGCCCTATCAGGAGAAAGCAGACTGATAGAACAGCATGGCCAGCTTGCACTGTCTGAGGTAGATAGTTTTTGAGCTGAAGGCATCTCCCAAGTATGTGGTACTGTGAGAAGCAGCCACAGCATGAGGTCTGTCATTTCAAGGTCATTTCAAGGTATGCCTCACCCTGCTGAAGGGCTGCAGCTGTGGAGATGGAGAGTTTGGGGCTCTGAGACAGTAAATGGCAGCCTCAGAGCTGATCCACTCACCTGCCCAAGCCTCAAAGCTGTCAAACTCTAAAGCGTATTCTCGGTGGATGAGATTTATTCTTGGCAGCTATAGCCAGGCCACCTTTGTCTTACTTCATGGCCTGAGTAGCGCCTCCTGTGGCCTGTACTCGCAGCTTGTTGATGCCTGCTCCTCCAACACTACTCAGCTTCTTCCTAGGAGTGTCTCTTGCTCAGGCTGAGGCAGAGTACAGTGGTGCTCCTGTTTTGTGGTTGTTCACAGTTCACAGGCCTCCATGATAGCTCAGTTTAAAACAGTAGATTCTCTCTAGATAGTCCCCAGCTCCTACCCCCATCGCAGCCTTAACCCTAACCGGGTGACGAAATGGGGTGCCTCTCCAGTGCTGATCCCAAAATCACTGCCTCACCGTAGCCTGCATGATGTCTGTGAAATCTGTGAACACACACACACATATACATATCATGTGTTAATACTTAAAATAATAAAAACAAATCTTCAAAATGAAGAGAAAAGCTGAATTGTCTGCCTCTTAAGTTTATTTTTAAAATGTAAAAAGTCTATTGATTTTTCTAAGTGGCCGACAAAACATGTGTAACATGTAATTTGTGCCTAAGAAGTAAGAAAGGGGGAATGTAAGTAGATTTAGGTGGGTGTTTATTTTCTAGTTGTTAAGAAAAAGCTACTAACTCTTCTCTTGTAGAGTTTTTCTATTTAAGGCAACCTAAATCTCCAGCAGAATGTGAGAGGGGTTCAGGGAATGGCAGCTGGTGGAATAATCCTTCTTTACAGTTTGCGCTATCATAAACAGGCCTGATAGAAATTGAATGGTTGTTTCTAGGGTCCTGTGTTCAAACATACTTTACCATCTGTTCGATGCCGTCAACTATAAACGATCTGCAAAAGGAAAGAGAAGCCATGGCTGTAGCAGTCTTTTGAGAGGGGTGGGGACAGAGGCGGAGCCTTGGCCTGGCACGTGCTGGGGGAGGGGCAGAGGAGAGGAGAGTGGCCTGACTGCTGCAGCAAGTGCCAGCGCAGCAGCTCTGACAGGGTAAGCTGTGCTAGCGCAGCGCGTTAGGGGCCCGTCACAGCTCCAGACAGTGCACAGAATGCACTCTGCTCGCCAGGGCCCAGGCACGCCTTTTGAATTGTAGACGCCTCAGTCAAGTGCTGGACTTCAGTTTCATTTCACTTCAGTTGAGCTACATTTAAAAAATTATGCTTGACTTAGCTGTCAAGAACTTTTGAGGATATTTGGGACAACTTAAGATATGAGTCTATTTTTCAGTTCTAAGTTTAATTAAATCTAAATGTCAATTAAATATTTAAAATGAAATTTGCTTATAAATTATCGTATTTTTCAAGATTTAAGATATTTTGAGATATGGAAACGATATTGTTAAAATCAATTTAACTTTTTTTTTAACTTCATAAAATGAGCCTAACTGTAAGTTTTAAATTACTGTTTGTATTGTAGTATGTCGTGGACTATGGCGGTTAAAAGGGCTTTTCTCAGACATCATTGGAGGATGGAAAGATGGCTAGGCTGTTAAGAAGTTGGGTTCACATCCAGAAAAGCATCAGGGGCTCTGCCTCATTCGCAAACAGGCAGAGTAGGTGAATAACACACTCATATCAGAATCATAGCCTGCATTTGTTTTCTCTGCCTATATTTACACACATGGTATAGTTTAAATAGTTTTACTTTTTAATAAGTCACTGAATCTAGAAATTCATACCTTTTAACTTTTTGTCTAAGCTATATTTATGTTATTTTATTTTATTAGAGAAAATAAAATTTCTTAGCCAATGCCAGTAAAATAAATGAATGCACATAGTGGCAAAGACATGTGTTTGTCTTTGAGTATATGTGACTGACAGGTCATGGCTTCTGATAGTAACATGCTTGACCTGTCTAGAACAGTGATGGCACTGCTTCCTGGGATGGACTATTTCCATGTTTCTTTCACCCTCAACATAGGAAACTGGGACAAAAGCACAGAGCGTATAGGGCTTCTAATAGTATAGAAATACAACCTATGACTCCCACCACAATTTTGTCTCATTTCTCTTCATCCATTCCTCTAGGAGGCGATTTCCTGTCCTTTCTGAGGAAGAGGAAGGATGAAATAAAGCTCAAGCAGTTGGTGAAATTTTCCTTGGATGTTGCTTCTGGCATGTTGTACCTTGAGAGCAGAAACTGTATACACAGGTGAGGAGAAACTGTTAAAAGCATTTTTGAGTACAATCCTAGAAAATGAACACATTTTCTGTAATGCTGTAGTGAATTCCTTTCATAAAGTTTACAGGTTGTTTTTTTATGAAATGGAAGCATTCTTGATAGCTTTACCTTACTAGAGGTAAGTACCTAATTAGAAAATGATTTAACCTCTTAGAGTTTGCTTTATTGTAATCATGAAGAGCTTGGCATGGCCTGCGTTGAAATCAGAAAATGGCTTTATGTGTTGCTGACTGTCATTTTCCGAAATGTACACACTTCTATAAGAATGATTCTCTGTTGTTGTGTTGTTTTCTTGTTCTTGTTTGTTTGAAAGAGGGTCTCTGTAGCCCTGGCTGCCCTGGAACTCACTCTGTAGACTAGGTTAGCCTCAACTCAAAGAGGTCCACCTGCTTCTGCTTCTGCTTCCTGATTGGTAGATTAAAGAGGTGTGCCACTATGCCCAGCTATAACAATAAATCTTAACTGTGAAGCTGCCTAAGGGTAAAGATGCCAAATGTTTAATTCAAAGGGAGTTTTGGAAAGCTTTCTCTGATTTTGCGTAGTGGCCTGGTCTTATTGCTTCACAGATTATGGTTTTATTTTCATTTTTTTAAGATTAAGTTTTTAATTTTATGTGTATAAAGATTGTGTCCAGTCCCCTGGGACTGAATTACAAATGGTTGTGAGCAGCTATGTCGCTGGGAATTGTATGAGAGCAGTAAGAGCTCTTCACCCCTGAGCCACCTCTCCAGCCCCGGGGTTGTGGCTTTAATTGTTGCAAGCTGAGAACGACCTTTAACATGGGATGTACTGCACCTTGATACCTGTTAAGTGCGCATGAGGAAAATGATGCAAGAGCTGGTGCAGCAGGTTTTGCTTACTGGAAGCAGAGCATCACCCTGCACACCCTGGAGAGTGTTCCTTGTCACGCCTGGGTACTGTAGCCCTGTCCTGCTTTCATGAGTGCTCTGCCTCTGACTGAGGCATCTCCTCACACAGCCTTTGACAGTGTGCTGAGACTATTGATTCAGGTTTGTGGGGAGGTTGTAAAATACAGTTACAGCAAAGCAGCATATCTTCACCTCTGCAGCACACTCTTTAATATTGCTCAGTAATTGCATTTGCTTTTTAAAAATGTCAGTTGGATACTGTCTTCAAGAACTTAAAATGACTGCAGCTAAGCCATACCACGCTACTTGTGCCTTACTTTGTGTGAAAAGCCTTAACAGACAGACAGGCTAGAGCAAACCAAGGTTAACGTATGAAAACATAAAAGGTCTTGCTCTTATATTTTGAGAAAAATTACAGTTTTTTTCTGAGATTTTAAGTTATTTTAGGTATCAAACATTTCACAAATTTTTATAGTAGCTACTCTTAGAATTTTTTTTTCTTATTGAGCCATCTTTGGCTATAACTCTTAAGTAATATATATCATCAAAATTACTTTAATAATTTGTGAACTATCTCTAATATGTCCTCCTTCCCCGAGCACAGTACTGACAGTTGAAGCTAGGCAAGTGCTCAATCTCAAACCCTCTTTTTATTACTTATTTTGAGACAGGGTCTGCCTGTTTTCTATGTTAGCCTTGAATTAACCCTGTAACTCAATCAGCTCATAATCATCTCTCATTTTGAGTGTGCTTCATTTGGGGAACTATTGCTTTATTTTCATATTATTTACAGTGATGGCTTACCCTGCAAGAGGATGACTTTTTAATCATTGGAATTAAAGCCTCTCTAGACTACAGGTGGCAATGGCATTGAATTTTGTTTCTCTGCCTAAATCACATTATTTCTTATAAATGTTGTTTGACATTTTCCTTTTTAATACTTTTCATATTTTTACATGTTTTTGGAAGCCGTTCTTTGCTTGACTAATCGTAGCAGTTATTTGTATTTCTGGCTGGCAAGATTTCTCTCTTGAGCATCTTTAACACTGTCACTGAGAGCAGGTGTATTAAATAGGTCTCAGTGTTAAAGCCAGCCTTCAGTGATTGATATTGGCTCTTTGGTATGTGTTCGGAAACCCCAGATCTATTACAAGATTCAGTAATTGATTAGTCATGACTGATAATCATTAGCATAAAAGCCTCAATTTTGTCATTCTTGGTATTCAGTAACCTTTTGTCTTTATTCTCATAAATATATTTCTAATGTTTGACATTTGATATGGTTTTACTAACCATAATATATGGCGGTACATTTTTTTGTGTGTGTGTGTGATCACATCCATTGAATTCTCCTAATGTTTCTCATATTTTTGTTGTTAATCACGAGACCTAGAGTAATTTCATATCTGCAGTAGTTTTTGTTCTTCTGTAAACTTAGATAAATTCTTTTTTGTTTCATTTTTCTCCAGCAATCTATGGCATTATATTGAGAGAATACATCATTCTTCGTATTGCATTTGTAATAGGCATGAATTGTGCTCTAGAGCCTTCTTCTTGTGCCAGCCTGGGGGGCTGTTAATCTCAGAGAAGCAGTGGAGTCAACTGCCTTTGTAGTCAAAAGCGCAGTCAGTGCATAATACTAAAGAAATACCCAAAATATGTGCTTAATTCAGTGAAGGGGCCTCTCTTTTTGTAATAATTTTTGATGGGGGTAGTATAAAAATTAATTTAAACAATAGAAACAATGATGAAATTTTATCATTATTATTTAGATAATTAGTAAATCACTGAGCCCCATTTTTTTATATCCCCTGACTGCAATTTTTCCCTCCCTCCTCTCCTGTCAATCCCTTCCCTGTACCTCTCCTCCTTCATATTTCTCTTTAAAAGAGGGCAGCTGCCCATGAATATTAACTAAGCTTGGCCTATCAAGTTGCAGTAAGACTAGGCACCTCCCCTCCTATCAAGGCTAGACAAGGGTCCCAAAGGCAGGCAACAGAGTTAGAGACAGGCCCTGATCCCACTGTTAGGAGTTCTGCAAGAAGACCAAGCTACAAAACTGAACGAACATGCAGAGGCCTGGGCCAGTCCTATACAGGCTCCCCATTTGGCACGCCAGTCTCTGCGAGCCCCTGCGAACCCAGGTTAGTTGATTCTGTGAGTTTGAGCCTCATTTTTAATATATTAAAAATTACTAAAATAGGCTGGAATGATGGCTCCATGGTTAGGAGCACAGCACTGACTTCTCTTCCAGAGGACCTGAGTTCAATTTCCAGCACCTACATGGCAGCTCACAACTGTCTGTAACTCCTGTTCCAGGGGCTCTGACACCCTCACATGCAATCAAACACCAATCTATATAAAATAAAAATTACTAAAATAAATGCATGTTAAAGATTGTGAATCAAAGTAACAATTTATAATATGCTTTAAATTTTATGACCTACAAACGTTTTTATGTTCACTGATTCATTAACTAAGTTAGAACTCAGAATGTGAAAATGTTTCTAATTGTCTCTCTGCCAAATAATACTCTTTAACATTTGAGTGACACATTTTCTTTCTGTGTATATGTGTGTGTTACTATAAGCAAACCAAAGTAATGTTTTATGAAGGAAAAAAAAATGTGTGAAAATTCAATGAAGAAAGTAAAGAAAGCATTCAGAAATGGCCTGTTTTAATTTAGTTAAGTTTCCATTAACTTCCAGGATAGCTCTCTTGGTAGTCTGGGGGTGTTTGTTTGTTTGTTTGTTTGTTTGTTTTTGCAGTATTATTTTTATTTTTATCTTTTTGTTTGAAGTTTTTTAAATTTTATTTTATTAATTGCAGTTTATTCACTTTGTATCCCAGATGTAGCCCCCTTCCCATCCCCTCCCTATCCCACCCTCCCTCCCTCTTCTTCTCCTATGCCCCTCCCCAGTCCAATGATAGGGGAGGTCTTCCTCCCCTTCCATCTGACTATAGTCTATCATGAAATTTGCAGGCAAATGGTGGGATCTAGAAAAGATCATCCTGAGTGAGGTATCCCAGAAGCAGAAAGACACACATGGTATATACTCACTTATAAGTGGTTATTAGACTTATAATATAGGATAATCATACTAAAATCTGTACACCTAAAGAAGCTAATCAAAGATGCTGGGTAAGATGCTCAATCCCCATTCAGAAAGGCAAATGAGATGGACATTGGAAGAGGGAGAAAAGAGGGAACAGGACAGGAGCCTGTCACAGAGGGCCTCTGAAAGACTCCACCCAGCAGGGTATCAAAACATATGCTGAGATTCATAGCCAAACTTTGGGCAGAGTGCAGAGAATCTTATGGAAGAAGTGGGAGATAGAAAGACCTGGAGGGAATAGGAACTCCACAAAGGGAGCAATAGAACCAAAAAATCTGGGCACAGATTTTTTTTTTTTCTGAGACTGATACCCCAAACAAGGACCACACATGGAGATGACTTAGAACCCTGCACAGAAGTAGCCCAAGGCAGCTCAGTATCCGAGAGGGTTCCCCAATAATAGGACCAGGGACCATCTCTGACATGAACTCATGGGCTTGCTCTTAGATTACCTCCACCTGAGGGGAAGCAGCCTTAGCAGTCCATAGAGGAAGACCAAGAAACCAGTCCTGATAATCTGTTTTTATATCACTTTCCACTCATAGATAGGGACTTGGACATTTTTGTTTGGACTTAATTTTAATTAACCGCATTTTCTTTATAACTACTTTATAAGCCAATGTGAAATTGTCTCTTCTACATGATTTAATCAGAAACACGCTGAGAAGCTATGCTGTGGTAGTCCTTACAGTGATGTGCTGTCAGGTCATTGTGCCATGCCAGGAAGGGTACTAAACCTGGCTTATTCTGAAATGAAATCATTTAATACATAAATGGCAGTGGATATATGGTTTTATTTTTATTTTATTATAAGATTTTATTTTGATTTATTTCTAAAAGTTGGCTATATGTTTGGCATTTATGAATAGATTTTTATTGTCATATGCTTTAGTTAAAAATCATAATCTCCAGAGAAGTACAGGATTAATAGATAATTCCATTTCATCATCAATAAAGGTGATGTGTTTTTAAAGCTAGAATATGT